AGGCCCGGTATACAGGTATAGTTGACCATGGGCGGCGGACCGCACAGCAGGCATAGTGTATCTGGGCTGGGCGGATGCAGATGCTCGCCCATCATCTCGTCGTTGACATGGCCCGTATTGTACAACCAGGCTATGAAGCGCGCGTTCGCCGGGCGGGGCATCCGTTTATGGGCAGCATGTGGCGAGGAGCAAACACAAGATTCTCAACATAATAGATGGCTTATATGGGCATTAGACACTACAGCGATTGATTGCACTACACTGATTCAGACTGAGTGATTTTATGGGCATGAGCTCGAATCGATGTGACGTGCATGCATATATAAAATAAATATTATCGAAAACCCGAATATAAATCTGCCTAAAGAATGATTTGAAATTTCGTAATACAGTTTTTGCCTACACTCTTTGTTTAACATTAATCAACAAATTTATAAATATCTAATCCAAGTTTGTTTTTCTAATTTGCACTTAGCCAAACCAAAAAAATTAAATTTTCATAACGAAAGCTCTAGATGCTCTATAAACTCCTATGATTGATCAATAATCTCCCTGCCTTCTAAATTAAAAACCCTGCATGAGCATGATGTTGATTCGATGATAGTTAAATGTCTTGCACAGCATTTGAAGCCGCAGCTCACCTTCGGTTGCTTTGTCCACGGTGTACCAGACCTTGAACTGATCGGGATGCTTCTTGGCCAAGGCATCTAGTTCGTCACGCAGCAAAATATCCTTTTCACTCTGCAACATCCAAATTCAGAGAGTTACTTTTATGGAGATTTGTATTTGATGCCCTCACTCACCTGATTGGCAAAGAGCAGCGCCAGCTGTGTCTTATCCTTGTCGCTGTGCTTCAGCACTTCGCGCACGAGCTGCAACATGGGCGTAATGCCACTGCCGCCGGCAATCATGTTGACGCACTTGGCTGTCACTTGCTTGGGTGGATCTTTGCGCAGTTTCTTGATGGAGAAGGTGCCGTTGCCCAGATATTGCAAACGACCCGAAGGACCGCGGAACGAGATCTTATCGCCCAGTTCCATTTGCTCCAAGTACTGCGTCATTTTGCCACCCGCTGGGAATTTAGGATGCGTGTCCTTGAAGTACACCTTCACAATCAGGTCCACGTAGCCCACATCGTCATCGGACGAGATGGGTGTATACGGCCGTATGACCAGCTCATTGTCGATTGTCGCAATCAGATGAATATGCTGGCCCACAGGCAGACCCAGTATATGCTGCTTGGAGGGCAGACCGAAACGAAAACGTCTCGTATCAGCGCTGAGCACTTCCTTCTCGATCAGTGGCAGCTGGTACTTATCATTGGGATCGACTAGAGTGCGCAATCGTGCGGTTCGGTTGGGCTCGCGACGGGGCTTCGTCGACTTCTTATTGATAAAATAGTGTACTATCAATGCTCCGGCAACGATGGCTGCAACGCCCATAGCAATCGGCACAAACTGAAAAATAAAAGGCAGCGATATTTATATAAAATGTCGAAGCATTGGAAATTTCATGTTTAATACGTATTACGTATCTTCTAAGAACAAATATGAACATACGTATGTAGATTATTCAGACATATTTTATAGCATTACGTATTTTTCCGTTG